AGTTGCAGCGCTGAAAGTTCAGTGTAAGCAGAGATATCGTCCTTTAAAAATCAGGAAGTTTAATTGCCTACAAAAACGACTGGATTGGGACTACAGCTGGGTTATGGTACGTCACTAACCCACACATTTGCATCAACCCTCCCTCCGGAATAAGCAGAAAAGGGCATGACCATATTTCAGCAGCTCCAGCTCGTCGAGTGAGTTGTTCACGCAGCTGTCAGGTCTTCTGTGTTTCGGCTTCCCACAGACGCTGTACTTCAACAATGGATACAATTTATGTTTGATTATGTTCCTGAAAATGACGATGGTAATCTAGCTCTCTGTGCTGCGCATTTACGGAAGACAGCTTCCAGAATCTCCACGAGTTCAACACCGGATTCAACAAGAAACTGTTACTAAAACATGAAGCAGTTCCAACTTTAAAACCAGAGGCAGCAGTTGTTGGGCCACAACCTGTAAGTAGGCTAAGACTTCATCATTAGGGCCCGAGCACTAACAGTGCGAGGATGTGACTGGTGTGACGATGTGACGATCACATGGATGTGACTATTGTGAGTCAAAGTTATAGCGCCACCAACTGGCAGCAGGAAGTGTGTCACTTTCAAAATGCAAACTGGTATGCGTGTGTGTGAATGGATCCACATTTTGTCAGTCACAGCACAATTAACATTTGATTTTTCATTGTCTTTCTGCAGGTATGAGATGGCCCCTTTCACCAGCCAGTGTGTGCGGAGGGCAGTTGAAACAGCTCCCAGAACAACAAAGGGGGGCATTACTGAATTACCTGTCCTTCAGCGCTGGTGCGGCCCAGCCTCAGGATGTCATGGACAGGAATCATTGGCCAGGTACGTCTCTTCGTCCAACCAGGACATAACTCATCACAAACTATTTGCACAGCAGATTAGCAAGTTTTCATTCATATTTTTTTGCATATTATAAACCTTGTATTCCTCACTTACAAAGCGGGTCTGCGGACGAGACGTCCTTGGCTACGCCTGGCGCTTCTGGGGGACATCGGAGAGACTTTGGGGAATTCGTGGAATTATTTCCAGTTTCGCTGGAGGGTCTGCCTCCATGTAAAAAGAAAAGGGTGGAATACGGTTTTCCAGAAGACCGTGTCTTTTATAATAAATGGAGGGCCGCCCAGTACGCCCAGCGGGAGAAACATCTGCTGTGTAAGTCTCCGAATTCATCAATACAGCATTAACACACACTGACTCGACACGAACTAGGCCATTTATTTACAGTGAATCACATGAGTAAAGTTATTTCATTCTGCCTTTCAGCATACTTCACACTGCGCAAACCGACTGCAGCGAAGGTCTTATCACACAGGAGGGCTGGACGGTGAACTGGCCAAAGCCGGAGGAGATTGTGCTGCAGTGGAGACCAGCCCCAAAGCAAAAAGTAGAAGAAGACAGTTTTGTCATTCAGTGCGTGTCCCAGCAGACATGGACGGGGCTCGCCATCGAGGACTTTGGTGCAGAGCAAGAGCAAGGTCTAGCTAAGAAAACTCTTCATTTGTCTTGTAAGGGCAGAAGAAGCAATAATGTAAAATGTGCATTCCAGCAGCCATGAACTACATGTCATTTTTATTGTTCTCTTTATTATAGGAGTCGTCGCAACCCGACGGTTTTACACCAACGATATAGTCTGTGATTACCATGGAAAGGTAATCCCAGCGGCTGAAGGGAGGGCCATAGTGCAGAGCCTGAACGACGAGCCTGGATATTGTTTCTTTTTCAAAGCTGGAGAAAGAGAACTGTGTGTAGATTCCCAGAATTATCCATGCGAGAGCCACCCTCTTACAAACACTTTTGGCAGAAGAATAAACCATTCTTCAAAGATGCCAAACCTTAAACCGTTCCATTGCAAGATGAAAATGAATGGGGAAGACAAGGATATAATCTTATTTAAAGCACTGAAGGACATCACTGTTGGCACACAGCTCAAATATGACTAAAGAGAGGCTCTTACCGTGGAGAGGGCCTGAGTCTAGAATGGCTCGACGAATAAGCCAGTTCCAGAAAAACACACATTTTTTAAAATTACTTATTTAATAGTTCTGTTTTTTATATGTTTATTTTTTTTATTTTTATTTATTGTATATAGTTTCTTCTTATTCTTAATAAAATTTGTTGTCTTGAAAAAAGTTGTCAAGTTTAATTATAACTGTTCATGGACAGCACACTTATGGGTCATTTTACAGAATTACATTGACTTTATGAGGTGAAACATGCTTTACCCAACACAATTTACATTTCAGCTATTAATTATGCAAAATGAATAGGTTATGCTGGGATGTTGTTTTTGACTTAGAAATTGTATTTAAAATGTCTAAATTATAAGCACACCCCATCATAATTCATAATCACTATCATAATTGCATAATTCCTATAATGTACATAATTAGGTTTGCAGCATATACACCAAATTCTAAACAGCATCCCATCAGAAATGGGATTCATGGAAGTGGGAATGGGAGTTGTTAACCCTTTGATGCACAACATGGGTCTAAATAGTTTTAATTTTCTATATCTTTGCAAGAAATTAATTTCATCATTCAGTATTCCAGGTATTCCTCAATTAACTTGTTTTTGATCATCACAAATCCTTATTTTTATTTTTCCTTTCTTACTTTTTGAATAAAAATAGTATTTGTATAGCAACCCTTCTAATGCGCAACATGGGTCTAAAAAGACCCGTATTCATTTCTTATGTTATTTCAGTGATGGCTGAGTGTTTCTTTGCTGAGTCTTTAAAATATATGTATTTTATCATTTGTTATTCCAGGTATTCATTAAATATCTTGTTTTTGATTTCCACAAATCATTGTGTCTACGTTTCCTTTCTTACTTTATAAACAAACACTTTTTTTGTATTTCTACATCAATTTTACATACATGGGTCTAAAATGACCCATATTCATTTGCTATGTTATTTCAGTGATGGCTGAGTGTTTCTTTGCTGAATCTTTCATTTAAAATATGTTTTTTTTAATCATTTCTTATTCCAAGTATTCATTAAATATTTTGTTTTTAATTTCCACAAATCATTATGTTAGTTTTTTTATTATTATTATTTCTACATCAATTTTACATACATGGGTCAAAAATTATTATTAATCTTATTTAATTTTAACCACAGACATTTTTTTATATATATTGTAAAAGATAACAACATAATGTCTCAATATTAGGCTATGGTTACCTTGACCTTGTAATAGTGAGAAATTACTTGTGAGAAGGAGAAACATGTCCAATACTATTAGCTAGCTAGCTGTTGACATATTCTAGCTAGCTAATGTTAACTACACTAAAAAAGATTGTTTTTTAAAGCTTATTTACATTTAGTAGGCCTAACAGTTCATAATCATTCATATGCTGAAATGATTCTTATACTGAAATCATTGTATGATTGAAATGATGCCCAGCTGCCAAAGACAGAAAAGTCAGCAGCTGGTGTTCCCAGAGCACCAGGCCTGTGTACAAGGAGCACAAACATGTAGTTGTCATTTGTGAGGCATGTAAGCACTAAGATGGCAATTTGAGATGCCGCTGTACCAGTGTGATTTTATTTTTTCTGTTTTCTTTTCTTTTATTTGATCACATTCACCACAATTCAATACAGTTACACTACACCACAGTTCAATTTCAGTGTTATCTGTTATCTGTGATATGTGAATGCTATGCGAGACAAAGTGGCAAGTAAACATTTCAAGTGTAAATGTGTTGTCTAAATTACTTCTAAGGTGATTAATTTAACAAAATGTTGTCTTTATTCTTTTGTTTTATTATGCTTGATAAGAACATTTGATATCAAAACAATGACCCAAATGTTTGTGGTCCACAGCGCACCCCTGAACGTTACAATTCTGTTGTTCTTGATCTACAAGCTCAAGACAACAAAGGCATATGTTATTTAAACGTAGGAGTTTGTCTTGCCTGTTCCCTCTCTCCCTTCCCCCATTCACAGAGTTTTTTTCCCACCCTTGGCAGTAGTAATATTGACCCTTGAACCCAGTGGCAACGAGTCCTAGCCAATCAGAGGCAAAGCTGGGCAATCAGGGGTTTTTTTTCAGGTTAGAAAAACGTCAGTGAGTGACATTTAAATAAAAATAATGTGCCAGTCGTGAGTGACTGATAGTGACTGAACTGTAGGTGAGTTTTTATATATTCATATTTTTTTGTAGATATTATAGTTTAACCCTTTAACTGTCACTCCCCCTTTTCTCGCAAAGACATGACGATCATATCATAATCAAACTATTTGATCTTGTTTTAAAGAAGACATTTGCCATATTTATTGTTGAAGTGAAGTATTATGAAACTATGAAAGTGAAACAGAAAAAAAGTTACAAGTTTGAGTTTATAAAAATGAACAATGTAAAAATATAATTTTTCATATTTTATATAATATAAAATATATTTTACTTTAAAATTGCAAGAAAATTTAAGTCAAAAATCTGAAGTTGTGTTCCAAATTTTCGGTTGATATCTCAAAAATGAGTTTTCAGTAATATTGTATTTGGGCTCAGTACTAACACTGGATGGACAGCCAAGCTATAGGCTACCGTGTGCACAGCAAAAACTGCGCGCAGTTTACCAATCTGTCCACGTGGATGTAAATTGACAATCTTTATGCAGTTTAAAACCATCCATCCCCATGGATTGTAAAACCATGCACACAGTTTATTTTTCTCTTCCCGAAACCTAGAGGGGCTCTTTTCTTTATAAAAGCTCTAAAATAGCTCTTTTACGGTCTATGAGAAAAAGTCGCTTGTTTTGGGCTTGTTTTCACCGGCCTGGTTGCTTATTTGTCTCGCGAGATCTGGCAACACTGCTCATCACATGCTCAAAAACACGTCACACAGTTTTACAGTTAGGGATTAGAGCTTATTCTGTTGTTTTGAATACATATCAAATTTTTTTTTTCTCTGAAAAACCTCGACAGATTTGGAAATACAGTATATTTCAAAAAATGAGAAGAGTAGACCATAATGCTATTTACAAATATTTATTTAAAATAAATAAGTTCTCCTCTTCTTCATTGCCGGCTAAATACTGTAGAGAAATAAAAATCAAATGAGAAGTTCACACAATTGCAACAGAGTTTGACAGCTTACATTGAATACCTGCATGTCCATTACCTCGTCTCCATCCTCCTGTTGTGGTTGTGGAGGGGTCGGGGGTGGACGGCGTGGCAGATGGCGGGGCATATTTGGGCTGTCGGGTGGAGGTGGAGGTGGAGGAGTAGGAGGAGGAAGAGGACGACGCTGAAACATATATACAGTCTATTATTTCTATCATTAAACACAAATGCTGCATATACTATTTTTTTTTAAGAAGACTCTTATAATCGATACGCCTGTATTTACTTGATCAGTGTGTAATGTTACCTGTCATGTGTTTTTGACCAAATTAACTCAAATAAAACAATCCTGCATTTATTCAAAATGAAAATATTTAAAATGCTGCATTTTTTGCTTGACATGGAAAGGAAAAAAAGGGCACAGTTACAGTGATTCTCTGCTTTGGGAGTGTGAATTTTTGCACAAGTTTCCTATCAATATGGGTTTATGATGTGGGATAAACATAGATCCAAATAATCAGCTTCTGTAGGGAGCTGTTTATTTTGGTTTTTATTAGCTGTTTTCTGTAAAATTGAAAGTTTGGGAGTGCAAATGTGTGTGTGTGTGTGTGTGTGTGTGTGTGTGTGTGTGTGCCTAATCATTTTTCACCTTTAATAATCAACCTGTCATGTGTTTCGGATCAAATGAACACAAAATCCTGCATGTATTCTAAAAGAAAGTCGACACCCGTCCCCCTCTTTTTTTTTTTTTTTGTTCTTCGTACGTTGCTTAAAACATCCGAGATCAAATGAGACATCCAAAATAATATCATCGTGCTAATCATGATCCGTCTAATGGGCTTTATGCCCAGCTGCACTACTTCCTGAACTTCAGCCAGCTCCTTGTTTCCTGTCTGCCATTATTGGACACATTGATTAATTCAGGTGTGTCTGATTATTGTTGCCGTGACTACTGAGGTCAGGCACACCTGGATTAATCAATGTGTCCAATAATGGCAGACAGGAAACAAGGAGCTGGCTGAAGTTCAGGAAGTAGTGCAGCTGTGCATAAAGCCCAGTGGTGTAGTGCAGGGTATACGCAGGTATACAGCGTATACCCACTTCCTTTTCAGTCGGCATTGCGTATACCCACTTCTAAAGCCCCTCTGATGCGCATCATTTAGTTGCTATACTCGTGAATAAAAAAAACACCCCGTTAGAGTTGTACCCGTAATATTAACTCTAATTTGTTGCTGCAATGATTCTCCCATCGTGACGATAACTGACCTTCTCATCTGATCTGCTTCAGCACTCACCTGCTCGTCAATGTCAAAATGTTCGTGAGACCAATCAAAGAATGCAGGATTTTTGTTCATAGAAGGAACGACAGTGCGAGATAAGATGCAAGTAGCTCAAATTTTCGTCTGTTTTTCAATAGACGTTTTAAATGACCGACAGAAATAATCTGTTTGATTAAAGGCAGTGGAAATTACAAGCTCAATTTAACAACACAAGCACCCTATTAAATATATTGCCATTATTATTGTATAAATATATTTGTATAACATTTTTTCGAATGTGTTTGACTTGTCTGCGTTTGCGCCAATTGCATCATTTAGCCAGAGGGTGGCGACAAGTGACTGTCTTTTTGAGTGAGCAATTGAACCATTAATTAAATTACCAGATTAGTCCAAAAAACATTGATTAATTTAGGAAAGAAAAGTCGCTGAAACTGGAACTGATTCTCATGTTTAAGAATCTGATCAAATTGGCTACTTCATGCTTTTAAAGCTATTGTTGTCAATTTTTTTGGCCATCAAAACACCTTAAAATGCTCATTTCGAGATCAGGAAAATCAAAATTTTCTCGGGGGGGCATGTCCCCGAACCCCCCTAACAATACAATTTATGGGACCTGGCACCTGGGTATTTAGAAAACCATATGTGCGGCCCTGATATGCAAGAATACTGATTCTATGTGTTCTATTGTATTCATTATACTCTATTCTATAGTCTTGCATATTGAATACTAATGCAAGACTAGTAGTCTTACATGTTTATAATACAGGGCGTTCATCCTTTGCTGGGTCGCTTAAAAAAATATTGGGGGCATAAATTAAGAGTATACCCACTTCTCCAGGCACCACTACATCACTGATAAAGCCCATTGGGTTCTTTGAACACACCTGTTGTTTATGATTAGTATCGCTGGATTGAGTTATCTGAGATAACAGCGCATTCTCGCGTTGGTTTAAAAGGGGACATGTATCGATAGCAGAATCTCTTAAAGAATTGTGGCGTTTTCCCTTTATCTAGTACCAGAGAGCTGGAGATCAAGAATGCCAGTTAAGTCCCTTTGAGAAGGAGCATGACGTGATATAAAGCTAAACAAATCGCCAAACATGATGCAATGAAGCAGGAAGGACACCTCCTGTACCTGTACGAGCCGCTGGACTCACTGTCCAGCTCTAAAAACTGAACTCTGGGTGTGCAGAAGTGGCTGATGAACGGAGGCTTGTCATCGGTGTACCGCAGCTGCCCTCACTGCTGGAGGTGGAGAAGTTCATGGCCGCTACAGAGACAGAGAGAAGGTTAACACTCCTGTAAGGATACCACAATCATTAACGCATGCCTCACTCAACTGTAGGGTTGGGAATCGAAAATCTTGAGGTCAGGAATCAGACAGTCGTTATAAAACGAATTGATTCCTTTGTGAGCATTTCAATGACTCTAAAGAGCCCCTATCATGGATTTTTGAAAATGACTGTTCATATGGTGTGGAATATAGCTCTAAGGGAATGAAAATCTGAAAGTGCACCGTATATAAAGTTATGGTCTTTTAAAAGTGAGTCTATTAAATGAATTGTTTTTGAAACGAGTCATTAGCTGTTACATCGTGACGTAGATACATACTGGCCACGCCCAGTTACTGCGCGCGCAGACGGAAGTGTAAACTGAAGTCTACACACTCAAACACTTCATCATAGCATCATGTCGAGAAGACGCTGTGTTCTACTATGCAGAGATAGTTCAGCCACTTTGTTTTCATTTACCAGGGACGAGCATGTGAAGAATCGGTGGTTAGAGTTCATATCAACACTATAGCCCGATTGTGTTCTCATCATTTTATTGACAAATAATGTTAGTTCAAAAACATAAATGAATTCAAATGTGCATTCACAAGCGGTTGTTCCTGAAGGAGGGCTCAGTAACTTACTTACCCAGTGTATATGGATCAGCTTCCTCCTCCGAATCACAACCTGTAAGTATTATTAATAATTTTTGCTTTTATGGGTTTTGAACGGTTTTGTTGCGTCAGGGCGCGAGGCAGTATGTGTGTGTGTGCGCGCGTGCGTGTAAGTTACGCTCAGCGCAGCTTCTAGGTCTCCAATGTCAATTTTTTTTAAATATGTGAAATGTTTGTCGCTGTTATTGGAGTTGTCAAAGAATAGAGCGTCTTGTAGTACTGTAGTGCTTTATCAATATGTTTATGGGTCTGTCATCTGACCAATCACCGCCGATTAGTGTCACGCTAGAGTGGTTTGGAAAAACGAGTCGTTGTACGAATCATTTGGGAGTCTGTGAGCAAATCAGTTAAAAATAAATGCATATTATACGACAAATAAAGTGTTTCCTTGCATGCATGTTAAACTGTTTTTGGGAACTCCTAAAACAAAAATAGGAACATTTCAAATGCTGTGATAGGGGCTCTTTAAACCCTTCAAGCACGAGATGACTTGCACACTGTTTTGTGTGCTGCACACATGTGTAACAGTATATAGCTTGTTTTCACGTGACGTCACGCCACTGTGTTGCCATGGCGCGAAACGCAGATGGAGGGCAGGAAGTGATTTTCTATATTTAGGAAGCACTATAACACACTCAAAATGCCTATGTTTGGCGTCGTTTACGGTTGCTCAGATCGATCAAACCACAAGGAGTTTTTATCGTGTGGCCAAAGTTGTTGTTCATAAGGGGGAAAATACAAGAAATTGACAGAAAAACACCAGGAAAAATGCTTTGCAAACCCTCGTCTGCGGTCGGGAAAAGCCAAATGGGAAAATGCCAGTGAGTGTGTGTGTGTGTGTGTGCGCAGTGATCACTTCGTCAAATGTGAGATAATACATTATTTATGTGGCTTATAATTACATTATTCAGGTATTTAAATACACTTAAGTGGCTGTTTGTGAAACGTACCAGACTAGTTTCCGAACTTCGTAAAGTCAAAGTATGTCTGTAAGACGAGTTATGGCGCTTTTCCACTGCATAGTACGGTACGGTTCGGCTCAGTACGCTTCGACTCGGCGCGGAACAGTTCGGATCGCTTTGCGTTTCCACTGCAGTAGTACCCCTTCAAAGTGTGTGGGACTGATCGTTATTTGCGCGCGCCTCTACTGCCATGACATCATCTTAAAAGCGCCACATTTTCAAACCCACAACACAGGAACAATGGAGACTATCGAGGGGATGGTGTTCCTGATTCTCGGTATGTGGTCGTTTTTTAACTGCTAGACGGAAAAATGTGTTTAAAATGAGGCTGATGGCAGCAAAACAAAAATACTGCTAAAAAAGTGTCTCGTGTCGCAAATCCAATGACGCTAGTAGTGACGCTGGTAGTGACGATTCTGTCTGACCAATCAGTGATCTGCAGTGTTTCACGTCACATTTTAGTACCGGTACGGTACGCTTGGAACCTCAACAGACCAGGTACCATTTAAAGCGACCTGAAGCGAACCGTACTGTACTGTACCATGCAGTGGAAAAGCACCACAAGTGAGCCGTACCGAACCGTACTATGCAGTGGAAAAGCGCCATTAGTTGCCGATATCTACAGCCTCGATGGCAGGCAAATCTCTCAATTCAGTTGAAAATCGGTCCTCTTTATAACGTAAGGATCACGTCCAACATATGTCTCAATTTTCTGTTGATATATTTCTCTTGTAATAGCGTCCATTGCGCTCTTCACTCCTTGCCCTCCATCTGCATTCCGCGCGTCAACACAATCACGTGACTGCAAACCACCTATTGGATCCATGCAGCTCTTAAAGTGACAGTACACACATACACACACACACACGACATGTGCCGGTATTCGGTAATGCGATAAATCGCGGTAATGAATATGCACGATATTGTTATCGCGGGCTCTTCAAAATACCGTGAAAAATAATAAATTCAAATTTAGACTTTTAGAGCGCGCATTAGCTGCTTATTTTCCTTCAAACGCTCAAACACTGCGTGCTGCGCAAAACACGCGCGCACTCTGATGTAGGGATGCGCGGTATACCGGTATTGCAAAAATACTGGTATATAATAAATTTCAAACGGTACAATATCATCATTTTGTTAAATTCGGTATTTGATGAGCTGCTGTTCCGAAGTTATCCACTAGGCGGCAGTGCGCTACCGAAACTGACGCGAGTCACGCAAAACCGGCAAACGAAGGAACACGGTGGAAATGAAGCTCATTCAGATTTTTACACGCCCGAAATTAACAAATAGAGAGAGCAGTATGAGTGAAATAAGGCATTACTTTGCCTACTAAATTAATGAGAATAGTGTAGAAACAGACCTCAATGCACCACTCTGCAAACTTTGCTTTCAATAATGTGTTGCCATGGAATGCAACACATCAAATCTGCCAAAGCGCTCGTCAGTTGCTCATCCGGACTTGTTCAAGAGATCAACTGGTGAGTTCATCATTCAAATTATTTAATTTAGACTTTTATTGAACACTGAACAGCGCACATAAATAAGAGCTTATCAATTAAATATGATACGGTAAACACGAAAGCTCAAATCTTCTTGCATGACACGCTAGAACCAATTCAGTTACCGTCTCATGAGCTCATCATTTTTGCAGTTTCAAACAAATATATTCATTTAATTTGAATTAATAAAGCATAAAAGTGATAGTAAAATGAATGGCATTACTGCCGCTGTGGCGACCCATAGAGAGAGAGAGAGATGGTAGTAATATAAATATTAATAATATTAGCCTACAATTAAGCTACATTTGTCAACATTCATTAAGGAACCTGGCCTAACAATATAGCATTGATTAATCTAGATCAATCAGTAATAAAATGACCTAAAAATGTAATATCCTAATAAATGTTTAGCATCATAACATTACTTTTTGCAATGCATTATATGCATAATATGAACCCAAACAAAAACAGTAACCAAACCAAGATGAATAAATGCAATAAATGTTGATAATTCTCTGTTGATGCATGACAGCTAATGGTTTACGTCATTTTATTATTCTATTATGTTAATCTATTATTATAGATATTAACCTATTTTAATTGTATAATATCAGTGTTTTTTTCCCCCAAATCAAAATTTTACCTACGCATAATTTGTTTATTTTTTTTAATTTTGATGTTTTTTTTTTTTGGATACTTTTTTTTGCACATATGGTAGTTGAGAGTTTCAAGCAGTGTTTAATAAAATTGTTTCAATTCACTTAAATTTAGACTTTTTTTTCCGACTGTGGTATCGATTTAGTATCGATACCGAGGTATTAGGTTCTGGTATCGTATCGAAGCCAAAATTGTGGTATCGAGCCATCCCTACTCTGATGTAAACAATCCCCACATGTATAAGCACTGTGTGCATGCGGCAGAACGCTCCCGACGATGCATCCCCGCAGGGCTGCCAACTCACACATTCAGCTTGAGACTTTCAGACAGGACGCGGAATACGCGCAGGGTTTTGTTGCTGCGCCGACCTGCATCGACCACGCCGGGGTTAAAGTTCAAAAACTGGAAAACGGCTCTTTTTTTAAGGTTTTTGTTTTTGGTTTGAAACGACAAACGAAAAAAGGGTGGTGCAGATTTGTTGCTGTTAGCGCTACTACATATAATTAAATTTATATTTAATGTGGTTTCCACATTAAATGGACAGCGTCGCTAGCGCTATACAGTGTCAATAGAAATGTATTGATCAGGCTAGGTAATAGACTAATAGTGATAGTAGTTTGTTAATAATACAATCAAAAACGACATATGTGAAGGTTCTCAGTCCACTCCAACGAAGTTTAAAACCTAGGGCAGTTCAAAACGGTTACAAAAACATACCAGTAGGTGTCGCACTGTGTTTGCTGCTGTGTGCCAGCTACTGTCATGGAGATTAACTTATGTTCTGTAATAAAAACTTTCCATTATAACTGTGCCTTCACAAATTAGCCTACTCACCAAAATGAGCTCTTTCTCCTCATTAGGCATATTTGATCATGTAGTCTATACAGTATGGTCATGATTTGGCAATTATTAAATAATAAAACAGTAGATCAACATGAAAATCACTGCAGTCTGTGATATTTAGAACAAGAATCTGCTGGATTTTTCTAAAAAAAAAAAAAAGATTTTAGTCTGCCGACACCAAGCACATAGCTACACCTTGAGCCTACGCAACTTTGTGTCCCAGCTAGCATGAACAATCAGCCTGAGCTCGGCTGCCCCGTGGCGTCTGCGGCTACGTGTTAACCGGGCCGATTGTGGCCCGCAGCTCGCTCTGGAACATGCATTTTTGTTACGGCTGTAAAACACTGGGCCGATTCATGTTCACCATAAAAACCGGCTCCGGCTGTATGATCTAGACCACTTCTGGAAATGACTCGGCTTAGGTTAAATCAAGGATGGTTTAAGCAATAATAACATTAAAAAATATATATTTTAAAATTGACGTAAATTCCTGACCGTATCAGCTAATGTTAGATGCGGTAGCTATGCAGTAAATAATAATTAAATAGTGTTAATTTGCACAGAGGATTCTTTAATATACCAAAGCTTTACATGTATTTTAAACATGCATTCGCGTTTAAGCTGACATAGACGCACAATATGTTTAAGCGTAAATGGTGTGACCATGGGCGCGAACGCGCTTCTCCGAAGAACAGATTGCGTGAAAGCGGTAAGGCAGCTTTGAAAAGCTGTCTATGGAAAAATCTACAGAAAAGTTTGGGCCCATGGAGGGACTATCATTGGATACCACCTGATGAATTTTGTTTTTCTAGCACCTCATATTCATTGTATAATAGTCTTCTTTGAAATGTGTAGGACTACCCTGAAATGTTTTGTTTACATTCCAGATTGATTATAAAGGCCAGATGTTGTCAGCAATTACTAGGCTGGTAATGAGCAGAATAACCTATACTTAACAACTGCCATCATTATTTGATTCAAGACCACTTGAGAACACCTAAAGTTTTATATTTATTGAATATAATTTATGGAATTCTACTTTAAAATAGCCTAGTTTTTTCAGATAAAGTTCAGCGTAGTAATGCATCATGCACAGTTCACTTCTCCATCATCTATTGTGATATCTGTCATTGTTTCTACAGTGCGTCACCTCTCGTCACTACCGGATAAATTAAAATGGGCAAAGAGGCGGGACGCGGGTGGAGCTGAGGTGCTAATGCTATGCTACTGCCGCTGAATTGACAGCTGATTGAAAAAGTAAAGCCAATGGTTAAAGTTCATGTTTTGCCCTTCGAAATAATATAATAGTTAAGACGTAACTAAAAGTGAGACCATTTACTTTACTTTTTTATCAACTTTATTAATCTCACACAAGGGGCAATTAGTTGAGAGCATGTATACAAATACAAACATACAAGCAGTCAACTATGTGCATCGTGATGCATTGTTATTCTGCTAGTTAAAAATGTATTAATTACTTACAATATTGCTCTAAGCTTGTGCATGTGACAGTGATTCAAGGCCGCCTCTCAGTTTCTCAGATGGTCAAACCAAAGATATTACCTCAGAACTTCAAGAACATGAACTAGAAATCCGCGCTCATTCAAAGCGCTGAAATCATCAGACATCCATTAGTGCATGCGAGGGAAACAGCTGGAAACACGGCGCTGGTCGTTCTCTCCGTACTCGACACGACGGAATCCAACGGCGTGCACGGGCGAAGGTACAATACATGTATTAAATTGTATGAAATAATCCCGGAAAAGCACAAACACAGCTGAGGGTGACGCTAACAGACAGCAGACAAACGACTAGCAGTGAAAGCGGCGGCAAGAATCCACCTGTCACTCAAGTGGCCACGCCCTTAATTATGCAGAACTTTAAGGCTTAAATATAATTTAAACAGATGAGTTGTAAAAAAAATTTACCCCCCTCACAGTTGTCATGAAGGGAAAAATGAGCTCTATAGACCAAAGCCACTTTTTGCTCCAGGCTGTAAACATGTTTTTTTCTGCTGTAAAGTTGGGCATTTTAACATGGGGGAGATTCAGATTTGAGCGGCCACTCGATAAATTGCAGTTTAATTCACTTCCGTGTTGGCTTCAAGAGAGAGACGGGGAGGTTGCCGCTTGGTCTGGATAGGCATGATATTAAATAGTTGTAATAAACTACTGTTGCTAACATATTCCCAGCAAACAGGGGACGTCCTCCGGACGTTGCGAACGTCTAATTAGGTCCGGATCTGGTCCGGTTCATAACGTTCGCTGGGGGACGTTCGGAGGACGTCCGCATTTGGTCCGGTTTATAACGTTCGCTGGGGGACGTTCCGAGGACGTCCGCATTTGGTCCGGTTCATAACGTTCGCTGGGGGACATTCCGAGGACTTTCCGCATTTGGTCCGGTTTATAACGTTCGCTGGGGGACGTTCCGAGGACGTCCGCATTTGGTCCGGTTCATAACGTTCGCTGGGGGACATTCCTAGGACATCCGCATTTGGTCCGGTACATAACGTTCGCTGGGGGACATTCCGAGGACGTCCGCATTTGGTCCGGTTCATAACGTTCGCCGGGGGACGTTCGGAGGACGTCCGCATTTGGTCCGGTTTATAACGTTCGCTGGGGGACGTTCGGAGGACGTCCGCATTTGGTCCGGTTTATAACGTTCGCCGGGGGACATTTTGAGGACGTGCACTTTGACATTATGGTGCAAAACCATAAAAACAAGTGTTGGTGGTATAAAAATACTGCCTATTAGCATTTTTAGCACATGTTCAAATGAGATATGCTTGAGTGTTCGCAAAAACAATAATAAAAAAATCTGAAAAGTGCCATTGTCCCGGAGTGATAATCCTAGGAACGGGTCATAGCTTTAAAATAAGTTTTAGATTCATGCTTTAATAATGATATTTTATTCAAGTAGGTTATAATTCTAATTTATGTTTGTAAATATATGACTTGATGCGTTTTAACGGGCATGCGCGTGAAGTTGAGTTGCCATGGAAACGGAGGGTCACCAGTGCAGACAGCAAAACTCCGACTCTCCCTGTTTTCGCTGCTTTCAGGTGAGTTTAGTCTCTAAAATCACACAAATAATACACACGACTGTTCTTGACACTTCTCTTAATTTTAACTGGCACGCTTCTGTTTAATATTTAACGTTACTTTATAGAAATGGGTTAGTGTCTTCGAAAAAATCCATTAGCATCACTAACCGTTTAGCTACAGAAGGGTTAACGTAAGGCTAACGTTATAGCTTGAGCTTTTGTTTATGAATGTTTGGGCTTTTAATCACATTTTATGTGTTGATTAGAGGTTTTGATATTTTTGTAGCCTAAATACTTTGCTTGGAAGTGAGCTAAAAACGTATGTATTTAACATAAAACGTTACGTTTTATTACTTTTAATCGATGACGTCACTTACACGGCTGAAACTAGCTAATGGTTCATAAATATTGATAAAAAGAAAAATTATGTGATTTCAGCAGCAACAAGATAACTGTTGGCTATGTGACAAATGGTTTGTTGTGTTCCTAGATCGTTCCATGCTGATGCCCTGCTCAGTAGCAGAGTTGAACTGACCATCATCTGAACCTGGCAACCGGACACGCAAACACACACGCTCTTTTTTGATAATGAAAATAAAATTATTTTGTTTCCTAATATTCCTTGTTGTGTGTTTGTTCCTTGGGTAGTTAATATGTTACTTCTAGTGAACGTTAAAGTTCACTATAGAAGTCTGAAAAGTCCCCGAATGTTTGCTAAACGTCCCCCGCGACGTCATGTGAACGTCCCGCGAACGTCCCCCGCGACGTCCTGTGAACGTCCCGCAAACGTCCCCTGCGACGTCCTGAGAACGTTTAAAGAACCCTACACGAAGACGTTCAGGGGACGTTCGCAGGGGACGTTCAGGGGACGTCCTGGGGACGTGTTTTTGTTAGCTGGGTTTATTCCGGCCCAGGTTTCTATTTATTCATTGATTTTTCTTCTTCTAACGTGACTCTGGTATAACGTTAGCGTATTATGACCGTTCTAAAAGCTTGGCTTTTATTTTGATAGGCCATATTTACTATTACTTCCGGGTCACGTGGCCAACCTGTAGATCTTCAAACGGAAAAATGGTAAAGGAATTGAAAAAAAAAACAAAATCGGACCGTTTTCGTTTTTGGATTCAGAACCAAAAACTGGAAAACGGCTCTTTTTTACGGTTTCTTTGTTTTTGGTTTGAAACGACAAACGAAAAAAGGGTGGTTTCTCGTTATTTTGTCTCTTTTGTTTCAAACGAAAAAACAAACTATCAAAACGTACACGTACCGACTTGGCATTTTGATAGTTCTGTATTCATTTGGCCATTTAGGTGCGCAACCAAAAAGCTAATCAAATGATCGATCTCCTAACTTGCACTGTTTGTTGGCGGCGTCACGGCGACCATCAGTAAACGTTATGGATACAAACAATATTTTATATTTTTTATTAAGCTGTTCATGTCTTTACTAAAATCTAAATTAGATAATCAAAGGGAAGAGTGCTCTTAAAACTCACGAGCTGGAGCGATTTGACCGAACGTAATAGACTCGCTGTTTTTGCTGATGGTGAATCGTCTTTAGCATACAATGCATTCTTTACAAACGTAACTAAGTTAAACGCGTGTTTAAACAACACCTAGGGAAACTCACTTCACCTTCAGAGGTTCTGAGCCAGCACAGTCTCTCCAATCGTGCAGGGCCTTCTCGCGCTGTGTGTGTGTGTTTGTTAGAGCACGACAGCGGACGCCGCTGCCGCTTTTAGCTCCACGTCGAATCAGGGGGAGGGGCTAATAATATGAAGGTATATTTGTTTCTTTATTATTCAATCAAAAAAACTATTTTCAATTAAAAAAACCTTCACTTCACTGGAAAAAAAAAACTTTTCAATCAAAGAAAAAAGTGTTTGAATTCAAAAATATATTTGAGACTAAAAAAAAATACATTTGACCACTGCTTTTCTTTGATTGAAAATGTTTTATTGGATAGAAGTCCGTTTTTTTGTTTAAAGTAACCTTTTTAATTAAAGTAACATTGTTTTTTGATTGGACCATATAATGGGGACATTTGTGTCTTTATCATTCAATCAAAAAAGAAGTTGCTTCAAACAAACAAACAAACAAACAACAGAATCAATAAAAAAAGTCACTTCAATGAAAAGATAAACATTTTCAAAAATAGAAAATCGTTTTTGAATGCAAATAAAATATTCGAGAGTCCAAAAATTGCATTTGAACACTTTTTTTTAAAAAAATAGAAATTTTCTCTTTGATTGAAGTAATCTTTTTTGTGTTTGGGCCATACATGGGTAGGATATTTGTCTTAATCATTCAATTCCAAAAAAGTTGTTTCAATCAAAAAAAAAATATATATATTTTCAATCAAAGAAAAAACTGTTCAAATGCAAAAAAAAAAAAAAAAAATACCCTGTGAATAAAAAAAGTATTGAAGAGAATGTGTTTTTTCGTTGTTTTTGTTTTTTTATTTGAATTAAGTGCAAAAAGTTTTGAAGTTAAATTTTTTTTGATAGGGGATTATCACGCTGATACGTAGTACTTCCGGATTCTGTGATCTTTGTGCACTGCCACTTCTGTTGAATCACAGATCTCGCTGGCGAACTGATGACAGACTACACTAAGTTTATTTATACGGCATCCCTGGTAAATTCATCGGATTCACTAAAGTGCCGGCTGCAAACAAACGTGCTTGTTTTATCTTAATGTTTTAATCCACTTCTTCCTTATACTCAATTCAGTCGGGAATCCATGGAAACTTACGTAGGGTTGGCGTTGTTGGCTAAATTTACAAAGTGGAACAGAGCAGTGACATAAATAGCATTCGTCTCAGCCATTGTTGAACTGCGTCGGAAGTGGACATGCACAAAGTTGACAAATCCCGCCCATGAAACCCGGAAGCGTGATAAAAGAGCGTAAAAAGCGTAAAAAAAAGCGTAAAAAAAGAGATAATTTGCAGGTCACCGCACATGCGCAGAGTATAGTGCCTTCTTCCCGCGCGCTTTTCAAATACTGAACTGATTGATGATGAAGAGCAGACTGGTTAAACAGCCAAGGACAAAACAGTGGATTCGGTAATTTTTTGAGGGTTTATCATGATCAAGAGACAAACGTTTTGTGAAGGTTTTGTAAAAGATTTTGTTTTTGTAAAAAGTTTTTGTAAAAGATGCGGAAGGATTCTAATGTAAGGAGGTGTTTCACGTGACGTTACTTGTCCTAACTGTACATGTGCTTCAGATACCTGTGTGTGTGTTTAAGTCAAGTCAAGTCAAGTCACATTTATTTATATAGCGCTTTTCACAATACAGATTGTATCAAAGCAGCTTCACAGTGATAACATGAAAGTAGTACAACACAGATCAATAATATTGTTAAATATTAAATATTAAATATCCCCAACTAAGCAAGCCAAAAGCAAGGCGACAGTGGCAAGGAACCAAAACTCCATCAGATTGGATGGAGAAAAAACCTTGGGAGAACCCAGGCTCAGTCGGGGGCCAGTTCTCCTCTGGCTTACATTCATATTGTTTAAATATAAATGTTAAATATAAATATTGTTTATATATAAAACGGCGCCATAACATATCGCAGGCGTTGAGTCGTCTCTTCAAAGGCGTTGGGGCATCCGAAATCCCCGTGAGAGGCTGGATACAAAACTGGGCCTGACGAACGCCATTTTTCTCGGGACAAGCGTCCCGAGATAACAGCAGAAAGGCAGATGGGAAATAATTAACATAACTGATGTTCATAATGATTTCCATTATACGGGAGTCGGTGTTAGAAAACCACTATCTAGAGTTAGTTAAAGTACGTAATGAGTAAATCATCAAAAAATGGCGGTAAAATTATAAATGGCCAACTTCCTGTTGACTTAAGGGTATCCTTTTCTGTGCGTCTGGACATGGTAGATGTACCACAGAAATATCGTACATGTCGGTCAAACATGCGGCGGGGGCTGCTTCGTTAAATGTCACTTCCTGTTGCCACTAGGTGGCGCTATGACTGTGAGTGAATGTCGGCATGTAGATTTGTTCAGGGCGGGACTCTTGTCAAATGTGTAAAATTTGGTGCAAATCTGGGCATTTACAGTCAAGTTACTACAATTTCCTGTTTCATGGCGAATCATCGACACCACGGACATGCCCATCGACGAAAACGCGCAGATAGCACAACAAATTATTTCCCTCAGGACTTAAATGAATTCCATCTCTTAAGCCAACGAACACTTAAGTATCCCTGGCAGTAAATATGATTGCCCATTTAAAAACCATTAGAACTAATCAGTTTCATTTCACAAGCTCAGGCAGTAAAACTGATGGCTCATTGATGGCTCACTGATGGCTCAGCTATCTCATGATGGCCCATTATCAGGTCTGCGCAGATTCTCTTGGATTCTATCTACTCTGCTGAACTGCTGAGACAATCTGAATCGGATTTTGCTGAAATGGAAGGACAAGCTGAAAAGAGGTAATGTTTGTGTTTGTGTATTTTCTGTTGAGCTCCATTTCAATGGTAATAGGACAATGCCCTGTTTTGCTGCATATTTAAGAGTATTTTATTTCTTTTTTTTTTACTTATGTCTCATTCTTTCAGATCATAGTTTAAACAATGGATTCTATATCATGTAATTTTGTTTTTAAGGTCCGCTGATCATACCGTTGTCCACTGCTTGCAGTGCCACAAACCCCAGGAAAACCTTGCTGCTCACCTGGCCAGAGTCTGCATGAAGAAACGCACGCCCGAGGAGAGAGCGGCCGAGGTTCAGAAAGCCAAGGCTTCGAGCAGAGAGTGGGTTCGGATGAACAGGACCTGGGACTACAACCAGATCTGTGCGCTCCTGCCTCATCACCGCTCTCGCGTCATCATGTTTCTTCAGCGTGGTTTTTTTATCACGAACCAGCCCCGCGAGTCTGACTGTGATGAAGATGATGCTTCTGCTCCTTCATCTGATCTTCCTCAAACGTAAGGGCAATCCTTAAACATTTTAAATGTAAATTCTTTTCTCACTTTATGTTATTGATAACTTTAATAGTCTTGTCTGTTATGTTTAATCCAAACAGCCGGTTGGTTCAGAGGGCTCCTGGCATTAAACACTGCCAGAAGATCGTGAGAGTGGCGAAGCCGGACGTGCTCAGGATCCAGAGGGACCTCCAGGCGGGCAGAGAGCTCTCCAACACGGACCAGACGCTCTACCGCTATTACTGCGAGGCGCTCTTGGTGTTTGTCCACATGCAGCGTCCCACAGCTGTGGAAGCCTTGACGGTAAGTTCACTCTGTACACACTCTGTATGTGCTTTAATATTGGCACACTTGTGCATTTGTAAATAACGCCTTTTCAATATTTTCCAGGATGCCGAGTGGGTGAACAAGACCAAGCTGGGTGACAGATTTGTGATCGGCGTACAGAGGGAGAAAACCTCGAGTATGCAGATCGCTCTGAGGAGGAAGCTGTAAGTTTTACTGTACAAACTGTTGATTTCTCACCACCATAGTTTTAAATGGAATAACTCATCTGTCTTTTTTCCGTAGTGCTTGGAGCTGTACTTCAGACGCATCAGGCCTGAGAACATTCAGCCGGAGAAACTCTGCAATAGTTTCTTTGTTTCGTCATCCGGCGTGGAGGTTCAAAGTGTCTCTCGGGACATGAATCGGCTCCATAAATTGTAAGTGCCTTACACGGGTCCATGTGTGTGTGTGTGTGTGTGTGAACGGATACACTTCTTTGTATCTTGCCTCATCACAGTCACATAACAATTAATATTTCCTTTTTGTTTCTGCAGGTACAAGCTGGCTCCTTTCTCTGCCCAGTGTGTGCGGAGGGCTGTTGAGGAGGCTGCAGAAAAGCTCCCGGCGCAGCAACAGGAGGCGCTCCACCATTACCTGTCCATCAGCGCTGGTGCGGTCCGGCCGCAGGATGTCATCAACGCAGCTCTGCTGCTGGAATCATTAGTCAGGTATACATCTCTTCATCCAACCATGGCATTTCTCATCACAAACAAAGTAACGTCATTCTGTCTTTCAGCACATTTCACAGTCCGCAAGCCTTCAGCCGCAAAGTTGGCACGGCTTATTACACAGGAGGGGTGGAAGGTCAACTGTCCCAAGCCGGAGGACATCGAACGGCTGTGGACACCACCTTCGAAGGCAGATGTTGAAGATGACAAGTTCATCCTTCGCTGTGTGTCTGAGCAGAACTGGTCGGGCATGGCCATAAAAGACTTTGGTGATGAGCGTGGTTTTGGTAAGAAAACCTTTCATTTGTCTTGTAAGGGCAGAAAAAAACAATAATGTAAAATGTACAATTTAGCAGCCAATAACTGCAGCAAGAACTACATTTACATTCTGAACTGTTTGTCTACATGTAATTGTCACCAGGTGACAATTGGGCGGAACAATGAACGCGGTGTTGTTTCCATGGGGAGCTAATTTAATGTAACACCCCGCCGGTTGCCCCATGAAAAACAGTTCGGCTGGATTCCGCAAAGAAGAAACGAGCGGCAGCTGTGAGATGGGCGGAGATTGAATCATCGCGTTCACGAGGGGGATCATAAAAGCAGATGTTCGAGTGAAGAGGGCAAGCGGCAGGGGACAGAGAAATCCACGGCAGGGAAGGAGCCTGAAAACAGCAGTTCAACCCGGATGGAGAAGGAGAGACAGCAGTAACAGTAAAGTGCCATTGGAGATCCTCATTATCTGACTCCGGTCTACCGTATATAAACGACCAGTGAATTTGCCCTGGATCTTTGTGCATTCTGAGGTTGCCTATTGAGGTCTTCTGTTTGATATTGTGGTAACCTTTTTATGGCAGTGGTGTGTGCGTAGTATACTCTCCATACAGTGTGGACACGCTGTTCCATCCAACCTGGTCTCACAGGATTCCGTGAAATGTCCACGGGCTAGGGCTGGGCGATATATCGAATATGTACGATGTATCGTTATATTTTTTGAAACGATATGGAATGAGGCAATACCGTTTATATCGATACAGTAGTTTGAAATGAGCACATCTGAAAAATAGCGGAGGTTGCAGTGTGAGCTGCTGCAGTGAAAGTAGCTAGGCTACGTAGTACAATTTGTCCTAAACATGACACAAGCTTATATTAATTGCGTCAAAATCACTTTGATATAGTTAACAAGTTTAAGGCAGCTTGCCGCCCTGTCAAATGCTCTGACAGACACTGTTGCTGACTGACAGATATACTTGCGCTGTTTAATGCGTTTGAGATGTGGTGCTTTCCTCAGTGCTCAACTTACATTTCACATATTCTCCATCTGTAAATGTTAGAAAGTAAAGCAAATATGTCCATTTCACAACAAATATGTCCATGTCAGAAGAGGACGAGCTTCTGCAAGTGAATCTCCGCTAAAATTCATGCTTCCTTGAACGAGCGCCGGCGCGCGCAAGCGTGTGAATAGTACTACGTAGTACGCAATAATTCTGACTAAAATAAACATATTGCTAAAATATTTGTTGTTGGAGAAAATAAATGTGCCATATGTGGAATTTTAAACCTACAAGTATATATTTTTAATGAAAGTGAAAGTGATTATAATGGGGTAATCAAATGCAGGCTAATATAATTAGTTTGTGCTTTTGTTTTTGTTTTTATTTTCATTTTTAGTTTAGCTTTTAGTCAATAATAAAAACAAAAGCTTTTTGCACATAATATATTGCATAGCCTATATTATATTTGTTTCCATATCCTTCAATATCAACATTGTTTGTAGGATATCATTGGGCCGAATGTGAATATACTGTATATATATATATATATATATATATATATATATATATATATATATATATATATATATATATATAATATTTTTTTTTTATATATATATAAAGATTTTCTTTATCTAAATAGAAAACGTAGAAAGTACCGAGATATATATCGTATATCGCCATTTGACCAAAAAATATCGAGATATGATTTTTTGGCCATATCGCCCAGCCCTACCACGGGCCCTTAACTCAAAATCCGTGGAAACATCACGGAATCGCCGCGAATTCCGTGATGCGGCCACGGATATAACTCCAACGCAAGTCAATGACACTCACTTTCCGTGGTCCACACACGGATACCCGTTTGAATGACGGAGTACAGATCTCACCCAACGGACGTGCTTTCTCATTTGGAAACGCAACATTTGAAGTGTTATAGTTTCTTTTCCAACAATAAAAGCCATAATGACGTTAACCTCTTTATTACAGCTATTGCTCTGTCCTGCCGTCATACAAATTCAGTTTGTTTCAGTTAACCGATGTCCCGTGATGGCACCACGGACCTCAACAACCTGACCTCATGGACGTTGTAATGTGGCTGGCTTGTTTAGAAACTAAGCTTATGTCTACTCTATTACAATAATGGCATGTAATTAACTTGACGTTTTGTCTCGTCCTCATAAAATCCAGTTTGATGGCGTTTACACCTATTTCTCGCTTGGCTACGGTCAGAACTAAAATCTGTGATAGCGGCACGGAGTGAGTCTGTGCTGATACCACGGATAACTCCAGCGCAAGTCAATGACACTCATCTTCCGTGGTCCACACACGGATACCCGTTTCAATGAAAGAGAACAGATCTCACCCAACGGACGTGCTTTCTCATTTGGAGACGCAACATTTGAAGTGTTAGTTTATTTTCCAACATCAAAAACCAAAAACCATAATGACATTGTTATTGTTGCACTGTCTTGCCATATTCAGTTCATTTAGCCTAACCGATGTCCCGTGATGGCACCACGGACCTCAACAACCTGACCTCGTGGACGTGAATGTGGCTGGCTTGTTTAGAAACTCAAGCTTTATGTCTACTCTATTACAATAATGGCATGTAATTAACTTGACGTTTTGTCCCGTCCTCATAAAATCCAGTTTGATGGCGTTTACACCTATTTCTCTCTTGGCTACGGTCAGAACTAAAATCTGTGATAGCGGCACGGAGTGAGTCTGTGCTGATACCACGGATAACTCCAGCGCAAGTCAATGACACTCATCTTCCGTGGTCCACATGTTACACCCCTGAAAAAGGGGAGAAATAATCACGAGAGTGATACGAGTCAACTTTCCTCACTGAAAACTTTTACTGTTATCAGGAAAAGACCGCGATTTCCCCGGAAACTTGGGTGGAAGACAAAAGCAATCGATCGCGCCACATCGATTAAGATCACTTTGGCGATCACAGATTAACACATTTTACCCATAAATTAGGCACAACAAAATTAATTAATCACTCGAACGTTTACATGTTGCTCTATTAATTTTAACCCTTTGAAGACATGTCAGATGAACTTTTTTACACAATTATGTGGACTGAAATTATGAATTGTTTCATTATATAAATTGTTTCAATCCCTATTACTACAAGAATACTGGATGCATTACCTTTTTAATCTTAGATATTTTTAAAATCCTCACATCCTATTATTATTGCAGCAAGTATTTTTATAAACTGTCACACACACACGGATACCCGTTTGAGTGACGGAGTACAGATCTCACCCAACGGACGTGCTTTCTCATTTAGAGACGCAACATTTGAAGTATTAGTTTCTTTTCCAACAATAAAAGCCATAATGACGTTAACCTCTGTTATTGTCCTGTCATCATACAAATTCAGTTTGATTCTGTTAGCCTAACCGAAGTTCTGTTACTCACTGGAATCTGGATGTTTTAATGCGTTTGCTCATTTAATCATTAAATAATTAATCAAGTCTTCAGGTCGACTGTTTGGTATAATCAACATTTGCCCCGTCATTGAAAAATCCAATTTGATCACGTTTTCCATTTAGCCAGCCTTGATATCTTTACATTTCAGAGAAATGCTGTGCCTCTTGCGACATTACCACTGATCTGGAATGGATCTGTGGTGGACCCACGGTCAACATGGTCTTGCTTTTGATGTTTACTCATTAAACTTGAATACTTCAGGTCAACTGTCTAACAATGGCGCTAATGCACTGTGCTATAATTTATTCAGTTTGATCATGTTAACCTTCCATGGTCGACACACAGATTCCCTCAGTAGCCTTATCTGGATGTTGGTTTATGTTGTCTGCTCATTTGGAAACCTAAGGCTTCGGGTCGACTTTACAATCGACCTGTCAAAATAAAATCCAGTTTGATCATGTTTTGCAGCCATTTATTTGAATAGATTAAAAGTGAATTTGTAATGCCACCACCGATTCATCCGTGGGGAAAACAAGGACTACAAACTCCGGTTCCACTCAATTAAAAATTATTTTGTTAATGAATTTCAAAATAATTAATTTTCATGGCGTTACTTTTTTTTATTTTTTTTATTTTTTTTTACAGAAATCATGTGATGGACCCATGGACCCAATAGGACTATAAAGTCACCGTCTAAAAAAGGACATTGTTATTGTTTGGGTTCATGGATTACCATGAACATTTAGTCGGCGAAAGAGTGACCCTAAGCCTATGCACAATCCACATTAACAGAAAACAGGCAATCCATCCATAGTCATATACTTGATCTGGTTAAAATATGCAACATTAAAAACATGGAATGCTTGTACAAGGGATTATTATTTGAGCAGTAGTGGTAGTGTGCTCATCCCCACATGTGCGGTGCCGGGCAAAAGGGGGCTGGATAACTTAAAATAATGAGATACCCGCACTCTGCTATTTTTCCCATAAATACTGTGCTGCAACGTTTTGACCCTGCATTTTTGCACAATAAAAGTATGAGAGAAATAGCAGAGTGCGGGCATCTAATTTTTTTAATTTATTACTCATGGACAGAGTTGTCAAAAATACACACTTTCCATACTCAAGTAGGAAGACTTTTACATTTCTTCTGAGATAACGGGAAATCATATTCAAGGTGGATTTTCTATTTATTTCCTTAAGACCATAACAATTTATCCTCTATACAATTTCCACAAAACATCATGTGAACTAGTCAAGAAGGAACGAACTTACAGAGAAACAAGCATTGTGATATACAAAGTAGACAGGACAATAATGCAGTGTAGACAGAAGTATACAGTTGGTTTACCGAACATGGCTTAGAATAATGAAA